GTGTGTGTGTGTGTGTGTGTGTGTGTGTGTGTGTGTGTGTGTGTGTGTGCGTGTGCGTATGGAGAGCCTGTGAAGCTGTGGAGGAAAGGGAATGTAGGGAGGTTTGAGAGAGGGGGAGGAGAGGTCATTGAGTGATTCCAGGGATTTCATTGCATTTTGCTGGCAGTGGGTTGAGAGGCAATCACCCCGTTTCCCTATCCCACAACACACACACACACACACACACACGCACACACACACACACGCACGCACGCATGCATACATACATAAGATCAGCCCCTCTTGAAGTGCTTGGGAAAGTGTTACAGGGGTGCTTTGTTCCTGCACTTGAGGGCTGTTGGCACATTTACGACACTTTTCAACAACCCCCTATTTAGCACTTGTGCCAGCATTGATGTCATTGTTTCATGGATTGGCTGGTCGTGCCCCACACACTTCATTATCATGATTTAACCTATAAGTAGCATGAAAGTTTGTTTCCAGCAGACCATAATGTAGGAATAGGAATATATTCACTCAATGTATTCTTATGGTGACAGAATGATGAGAATGCTCTTATATTTGTATTTGTACTAATGAACATGAACTCTGTCCTCTCTAGGCCAAGAGGAAGCTGGATCTAGAGGACCCTCTTTACCTGCCAGAGTTCCGCACACCAAAAGGCAAATGCAGCATCGCAGCCAGGATACCAAGTCCAAGGAGTGAGTACACCAACTACAGATGAGAGGATAGATGGATGTGAGAGAGGTGGTGTAGCATTGTGGGTTTTCTGCGTAGATATTTGAGCCCTGTAGTAGAATATGGTCAACAGTAGAGTCTATTTTAAAAAGACTGTAAGTACAAAGAGGGAAGTCTCAGGAGGTTGTCTAATTACAGTTTCTTACAATATTCCAAAGGGGGGAGGTAGGGTGGGGGTTATATGGGGGTTCTATGGGGGTCACAGAGGGCAGGGAGTTGGCTGGCTTAAAACGGAGCCCCACGTCTTCAGACCAGTCCAGGAGAAAAGCGGCACAGAAGCCTCGGGACTAAAGTCAAATTATTAAACCAATAACAGATTTAAATGTGTCTCGTTTGACACACGAATGGTCAACATGTGGAGGACAAGGCCCGATTAGAAGCAGACAGTAGCATCAATAAATGAGTTTGGTCTGTTTCAAATACCATGTGCAATACTTTTGAAGACATGTGCTTCTGTGAGGTGGTGACTGGTGTGAAGATTGTTTACAATCAACGAATAGCATCATAAACACCACTATGAGTCACATTCACACAGGAATTAAGGTAATTGACACACTCGTATGATGAAGAGTTTGCACCTTTAGTATGTTTATCTTCTTACACCTTCATTTTTCTGTTAGATATCTACATATCTTTGTCAATCGTTGCTGCTTTTACTCCTTACTGTTCCCCTCCTCATGTGCCTTTGTCTGGATCTTTTGCCCTCAGCTCCAAAGTCTCCGGGTGAGCGGACGCGGTACGACACATCCCTGGGCCTGCTGACCAAGAAGTTTGTGGGTCTGATCGCGGAGTCTCCCGATGGAGTTCTTGACCTGAACTGGGCCACTGAGGTTCTGGAGGTCCAGAAGAGGCGCATCTATGACATCACCAACGTCCTGGAGGGAGTCCAGCTCATCCGAAAGAAGTCCAAGAACAACATCCAGTGGCTGTAAGTACCACTGCCAAAGAAGAACATAACAGTTTTACCAACATTTGATGCTTGGTGGGAGTTCCGGACTCCAAAAACTATAAGCAGCCACAAACATGGGTTTGTGGTCGTAAGACCACATGACAGCCACATTTCAGTCCGATGAACACGTCTCTCAACACAATCAGATGCAGTTTATTTGCTTCTGTCAAACAGCTCAGACAAGGCTTTGATATCTTCCAAGCCAACTGCCAAACATTTTCACTCTCTGTGAATTGCAGTGTAAGCAGGCACGTCTCAGGTTTAGTAGTGGTCAGAGATTCCCACTGATGAAGTCTGAACCGGGCTTTACAACGAGGGACCAGTAGAACAGAGACATCTATCGTGTAATGCAAAACATGATAGATTGTGTTTATTGAAACGCTGTTGTGTGTGAGTACAACTCGGTGGATTTATTCCTGCTTACACTTAGCTTATCTGCCCTCTAGTGGCTGGTACGTATACTGATATTGTCCATTACACTGTGTTTTTGAGTTGATACGACAGCTACATTTTTTACTGCAATCTGATGCTCACACATTTTGATTATGTATCTGTTTATGTGTGTTTTTGTAGGGTTGGAGACGTGTTTGAAGGTGGTGCAGGTGGAGGAGAGAAGGCTTGCGCTCTGAGGAAAGAACTTGGAGACCTGGAGAGAGTAGAAAGATCTCTGGATGAGCTGATCCACTCCAGCACCGCACAGCTCAAACAACTCACCGAAAATGAAGATAATAAGAGATATCCTTTACATCAAGCTGTGTGTAACATCACTCACTGGTTGTCTTCTGGGTCTGGTTACACATGCAATTAGCCATTTCATTTCTGCAGCCGTTATCGCCCTTGACCACACGCTGTACGTTGGGCTATGTGACATATCAGGACATTCGCTCCATCGGCACTCTCCGAGACCAGACGGTCATCGCCGTCAAGGCCCCCGCTGACACCAAACTGGAAGTGCCAGACACGGCAGGGGTGAGAACACAAGATTTCAAAACCAACAGATTCAATTGTTGTTAAAAACTCTCCGAAAGACAAATGGAATACATGCAACGAAACTATGAGTGTTGTTCCGTATATTTATATATTTTTCTATCCTTCTCCTTACAGCAGGGATCATTACAGATCTATTTAAAAAGTAAGAATGGGCCCATTGAAGTCTACCTGTGTCCAGAGGAGGGTCTTGAAGAAGCCAGCCCAGTTAAAAGCGCGGCCACCCCTAAAAAGGAGTTCCCTCAACCTCTCGGCCCTCCAACTACCACCCCAATGCCGCCACCAAGCTACGGCATCAAAGAGGAGCCTGCTGAATGTAAGCGGGGTTTTCTGTTGGCTCGTGTACAGTACAGTAGGATTCTGACTTTATACTCTCACTGGGAGCTAATAGGTTGATGAGTCACTTTATTCCGACAGTGAGTTGTGTGTGTGTGTGTGTGTGTGTGTGTGTGTGAGGCCCTGATTGCAACTATGCACTGGTCATGGAGAGCCTCTTTGCTTTTGGAAGCAGTCAACTGTAGCTAGTCTGGCTCTGTCCAAAGTAACAAAACTATACGGTAACGTAACAGTTCAGTAATGAGTTAATCTAATGGTTACAGCAAGAATTGATAGGTGTGAGTTTTAATTTCCAGTCATTATAGTAAGCTAAGCTAATCGCCATCTGGCTTTAGCTCCATTCTTAAGGCAGACATGAGAGATCAATGTTGTGATCGAACTCTCTGCAAGGAAGTGTATATTTCCCCTAAATATTCCTTTAACATTCCCCATCAGCCATACCAGTAAATATTAGATAAAAAAATAATTAGGACAAATTGCTCAAATTACAAATTTACTAACTATAAATAAAAATGAAAGCAAATCACAAGGATAAAATTGAGAAACCTTTAGAAGGATATAAATGCAACTAAACTAAAATATGTTGATAATAATAACTTTTAAACATTCAGGAGGTATGTCAGACTAAAAATATGAACTTCTGCTCTGCCCTTTCCTTGATCACAGTTGACATATCTCCAGCAGCTCCAGCCACCTCCTCAGCGGCAGCCTCCACCTCCACTCTGCTGGACGTCGAGGGTCTGCTGGGTTTACCCCCCGGCCTGCTCCAGCTTACAGAGGACCAGCTGCCTTGCGTCTCTTTCGCCCCAGACCCCAACACGCCCTTTGTCAGTTTCTCTCCCCCTTTGGACCACGACGACTACCTCTGGAGCCTGGAGGATAGCGAGGGAGTGTCAGATTTCTTCGACACCTATGATCTTGGAGAGCTGTTGAAGAGCTGAAGGTGTAAATGAAAGGGAGGCAGGAGGAAATTTGGGGAGATTAATTAAGGGGGTAAATATTTAATTCAATGCCTTCTCGAGGTAGGAAATATTACACTATGAAGCCATATCTCTTTGTTTTTACCATGCCTGTTTGAATGTTAATGATTCCAAAGGAGGAGTCACCCCCTTTGTTTGTTTTAACAAAGTAAAAATGATTTGTACATAAACACGAGGGGACTGAGAGGTTGGGTGAGAGTGTAATCTCCAACCATTAGGAAATGCTGTTTAAAATGGCGGTACTGTTTTTTGGATCATTCACATTTTCAGATTGCGCTACAAACACGGAAGTTATCGTGCACATCACATCCCCGGCAACATAATCTGGTGCATTCGGTTTGCGGGCGGTGTTTACAGTGTAACAACTCAGGAATTGTTTTTCTTCCTTTTTTCCCCAAAGTCTAAATATTTGTGTGCCACTCTTTAACCCGTAGGGGGCAGCCTTGTACTATGTCAGCTTTAACTGCCATGCAGCTTTACAGGATTCAATCACTGGAATTGGCGTACGCTAAAGCCATCAAGAACTGTACACAGGGTGTGTTTTCAAGAGTGTACCTGTCTTCAATACTGACCAAATTAAGCTGTGAATAATACTGGTCCACAAGCATCGACGGCTTCAGTAGGGTATCGTGTGAAACATGAGTTCATCTGAATCTGAACTCGTGTTTTCAGCTCATGTGGCTTCTGTCTGATCAGGTTTTGCTCTTTCCTGCCTTAAGCTTTATGTCAGGCCTCGTACCTCTTTGGTGCTGCATTGTGTGCCAAAATGTGAAAGGCAGCTTCTGACACCCAAAAGTGGACCCAGATCCAGAGTTAATGACTCATAATAAGAGAGTCGCACTCACTCTTGTTGGTTTGGCAGCTTTATTCTAAATCCAGGTGCTCCTCTATTGATAAGAGTTTGCTGATTTTGAGAGACTTTTTTTGATTCAGTGGTGTGAAACTACTATTGTATTTCTTAAGGAAATAACCAAAATAAATGAAATGCAGCATCTGTGTTGCAGATGTGGTGGAAGCGGGGGTTAATTGATGTAATTAAAGTTTACTTAGAGTAGAGATTTTCTTCTTCTCTTGTTCAATAAGTGAATGAATTCTGCTGATCTAGCAGCAACAGAATCAGGAAGGTATTTGTATCTTTACTGTTCAAATTTCAAGAATGCTTTCCCACATGTGGTGGTGTAACCCTTTTCAATGTCAAAGACATGGAACCGAGGGCAGAGTAGTCAAGAGTTATCTGTAAATAGTTATTTTTTCTTTTCTTTTTTTTCGAAGCGTTCTAGACATTTGGAAATTTGAATTTCATGCTGATGTATTTTTGGCTTTCCCTCTACACTGCGGAGATAAGCTAACTGCCCTGTCCTAACAAAACTTGAAAATGTGTGTTCGTGTGTGTGTGTGTATTTGACAGCTTGGGAAATGGGTGTCATGGTGTGTTTGTGTGAGTTTTTACAATGTAGATTAGAGGATGTGAATTCAGAATTTGTAGGTTTTTTTTTTGTTGGTATTTGTATATAATTTGTTTTGTATTTATACCTATTTTCCATGAATTTGTTGAAGGTTGAACTGTTCTTGAATGACATGCGGCACTTAATATTTTGTAATGTTGTGTGGTCTGTTTGAAATTATTAAATAAATACTGAAGCCATGATTTACACTTGGAATTGTGCTCCATTTTTATTTTACTCACTTGTCATGTCAGGAACCTGTTCTTCCTCGCAAACTACAGTTGAAATGCAGAAGTCAACATTCATCTTCGTATGTCATTGCTATCCATTTTTTTCTCCAAGCCTCTACAATGTATTCCTTGATTTGGCCCGACTTGCTGGAGAATTCACTATCACAAGGGACTTCGCCTTCAAAATGTATCGTAGGAACCCGAAATATGGAGTATTTACTGCAGAGAGGATATGGAACTAATAAGAGGATATGGAAAGAGAATCGGTTGACATGAAGAGTGACAATAAGACCTCATGAGCTATAAACGCATTCAGACAAAACCCCTCCCATCATTCTTTGTTAGTTGGTATCTTTGGAAACAAGCTCACAAAAGGGGGCGGGCACACAGGAGGTCAAAGTTCAGTGGGTCATTGGGCTAGTATGGATAGTGGCAATGCGTTCTGGGGGTAAAGACATCACACATTTTTACTAATAAATCTGAAGAACAAATAGAATCTATAGATTTGCAAGTTTTTCTCAAATATTACACACAATATTATGAGGAGGACACAATCCTCGCTGGCTGCTCCGTGGTAATGACTTCATACAGAAACCCTAAAGTTTACGGCCCATAGAACTATAGCGAAATATTGCACGACAACAGGAAACACGAGCTTCCAACACAGCTCAAGTGAGAAGCAAATAAAAAGAGTTAAGCTTATACAGGCTTTTTTTTTTTAACCCTCACAAAGAAAGTCCATCTCCTCCTGCACCAGTTTTCTGCAAACTCACTTCTGAACCAACATCAGGTGTCTATTAGCGCTAAGGGTCTATTGACAGATGTTGCGCGCAACAGCGTCGTGTTTAACAAGAGGTGATAAACTGAAATGTTCAACACCACGTACACATACACGGCCTTTGACCGTGTGGTTTGCATGCTATCTAAACAGCAGACTACCGCAGTTCTGTCACATTGCACCTTGAGACCAACTACTTTGTCAACAAGGCGCTGAAGTAAATATTAGTAGCTGAACGCTTAAATTGGCAAAAACTAAACACCCTCTTTGTGTGCTGGCAAGTGACAGCTCGTCAAAGAGTAGCAACAACCCGAGGCCAGAACGCTGCACGTCACTATTTTAGAGCCACAGCTGCTAAACGGACACATAATGGTTGTATTATTTTCATTAAGGCTGGGAGCAATTTAGGGACTATGGTTGGTGTCACAAGTGACTAAACTGACTAAAACTGACAAAAAATGTGGCTGATTGTGTTGACTCAAACTTTTTTAGGTATCAAATCAGTAGTTTGTGAATGTAGTTATTGATTTAACAGATATCAAGGGATATAAGTTACTGGTTTTCAATCGTTTGGAGTAATAGTTTCAATGAAAAGGGAATTTAGTTGTTCTGTCTTCCTAGTTCCTAGTCTTGAATGAGACGGTGACGTGATTTTAACATAATATTGCATTCAGAATCATGAATCACAAACAAGTTTGACTACCTGTTACCAGTCTGGAAAGGTTTTTGTTGCCAAACCACCTGTGATGCATTGTGGAGAGGTTGTCAGTCTGAGGGTGTGGTCTCTGGGCAGGTACACTATGTTGCCAGCCGCCATGTCACAGAGGACAAGCATGACTGTGCTGAGACTGATAATGCTCAGTCAGTTGAGTCAGGGATGACGTATTTGTCAAAGCAGAAGCTGTCACAAAGTGTCACAGCTGTTTTTCCACAGTCGTTCTTCATAGTGCAGTTGTGCAGGCTCTTGCAGCTGATTGTTAACAGAAGAGCCCTGTCCTGTTCAAGACACTTCATATGCTTATTCCAGTGGGAAACTGTGTAAAAAAATGAATCAATCTCTCTCTCCAATCCTCCCATTTTCAGTCATCCGGGTCGACCAGAAGAGGGGGTATTTTACGGTAAGCCTGGGCCTCCTGGCTTGACAGGGGTAGTAAATTGATAACAGGACTAGTGGAGCTGAGTCAACAGTGGAGAGAGAGATTTTTCGGGGGTGGGGGGGAGTTTAGAGGACTTTATGCTCCATCTCCACAGGGCTGCTGGGAAGCAGTAAGGAAATCCTGGCAGCTGTAATCTTTACTGGAAGATGCCGCTACGACCTCTGTGCTGCAGCATGTGTGTGTCAGAAAAAAGAGAGAAGCTGTATTTGGTTTACCTCACTTCCTCACAGCCAAAGTGAGAAATGGTGTGAAGGAAAAAAAGCACTTCTTGTTGGTGATGTAAGTAAAGAGGGAAATTACCATTAGCAGTGGCAGGAGAGAGTGTGTTGATATGGGAAATGACAATGAATAGGTATGTGGTGTTAAGGAAGGAAAAGGTGGAGACGAGGAGGAAAAGTCATATCAGTTAGCGTCCTCAGACAATGAAGTTTCTATCTATCTCCTTTCCTCTGTCATTCCACCTCCCTGTGCTGTGCATCTCCCCCCTCGCTCAGTCCCTCCACCTTCCGAAACTATTTTCTTCTGTCGGCTCCCCGTGTTTTTTGTCTTCCCCCCCTCCCTGTCCTTGGACCTTGTGTTCTTCTTATGTTGGAGCATTGCCTGAGAAGACCGGTTTGCTCAGTTTTACAATAGGACCCAGGCTTGGAAGGCTGGCAGACGCACAAAGGCTCTGCTTCTTTACAAGGGGCCGCAAAGAAACTGAAGGAGGGTATTGTTGGGAACACAGCGAGCCTCTGCATTACATCAGCACAGGCATCCATGCTAAAAATGTGTGCATGCAAACTGAGCATTCAAAAAAAACACATGTTGGAAATGTATTACAATACACAACGACATGTACAACATGCAAACTTCATCTGTAGCACTTTTTCCTCTTTCCCTCACTGATGTTCTCTCACATGCATACAGGAACAATGAGTGAATGAGGCCCTGGTAAACTGGGTCAGCAAACCTATTTATGTGGCTCTGCATTGTTTGGAGTTTGTCGCGTGCCCTCACTTCCTTACAAGAACGGACATTTTTTCTTACTGCTCAATAGGTCAAAGAGACCGTTTCCTCAGCGTTCCCTCTGGAGACTTTAGTTCACATTTTGAATTGCCTTAATTTGCATGAAGAAACACAACCGGTATTTGTTTTGTTATCAAGTGATTTTCACTTTGTGCCTCCAGAGAAACATGTCTGATAAGCACTCCTCTTTGTTCTACACGAATGGCTGTGTATGTGAGTGTGCATGTGTGTGCAAGTAAAATACAGTGCATTTTTGTGAGTTTTTTTGCTAAGCAAACAGACTTGTGAATATAAACACAGTACCACTGTGAGTGCACATTAAGACACACAACTGTTCTCCTTCACTCACTGTGTGACAGTAAGAAGTTACAGAGAACTGAAAAAAACCTCACCACAAAGTGAGTTATTTGCCTAAAGTGAGTCAAGTTGCCTATAGAGCTGGGACAAATTATCCCTTTATAAAGCTAATGTACAGGCAAATATGTGGTTTTGTGGTCGAACCAAAGGCAGCCTCTGTATTTGATGCGGCTTCCTAAAATCACCCATCTGCACTTCATAGTGTATTGTATCACTGCTCACCCAGCGGCACTGTTCAGTGATACACCTCTTTTCTTTGAGTTGACAGGCGTGACAATGCCAGGCATGCAGGAGTTATGTTCTATACACAACTCTTGTGCTTTTTTTTTTTTCTCCACCTCTCTGATGCACTCTTTCCATTTCGTTCACTCTGTCAGATGATTTCAGAAGGTCAGAGGGGAGGGTCTTCATAAATCCTCCCTCAATGAAAAAGGCCTTTTCATAAGATGAGAAGAAAGAGGAAGAAGCTTTGGAGCCTAAAGCCAACGGAATGGCCAAGAGGGAGTTACACCTCCAAACTCTTGATTAAAGGGCAGTTGCACAGAGCTGCAAAAGCCCTAGTTATGATGAACGTGAGCTGAAGTACTGCATGTGTTTCAGTGCAAAAAGTCCCCCCCCCACATAAAATATCTTTTCATCTGTCACATTTTTTTGGGCAAAACATCAGAGCTTTGAGTTGTTGGTTTCAGCCTCACTGCAATGCTTTAGCCAAAAACCATCACCTCATCCAATGAAATTCCTCCCCTTCAGTTTAGTCTGTGAATGAGGTATTATGCATATCCATGGCGACCACCACACTGCAGACGTTTGGAGTTTGCAAAGAAATGAGAATTAAGAATGAAAGAGACGAGGGAGAGGACACACGCGCACACACGCACACACGCACGCACGCACACAAACTCTCTTTTCTCTATTCAGAGTGCCAGAAAGCACAAACATTCCCACGTGATGATGAGTTTCGCTCCCTCCCTCGCGGGGCGGACAATAGCGCGCTGGTGGCGCACCTCCACGCGCACACATTCGTAGAGTGGAGCCCAAACTCGGTCAGGACACAGGTCCGACTTTAGACAACTTTCTACCTTACAGGCACTTTTAGGGATCCGCTTTCTGTGGGGGATACAGTCTCTTTTAGTCGCCTTCTTGCACACAATGGAGGAGTAAACCATTCATTTTTCTTCAAATGGGAATTATTTGCGCGCGTGAAACTTTGGCTCACTTTTCTCCCCAGTGATTGTCAGACGCCCGTTTCGCTCGAAACATGCCGGAGCGAATAAGCATTTCGGACTTTCTGGTCCTGACAAACGAGGATTTGTCTTCGCCGGGGACTTCAAGTTTCCTGTCCAAAATGAGCGACTGTCGGAACACAGTTTCAACCGTGGACGAGGTGAGAGAGGGGGAGGCGGTACAGAGACACACATGCACGTTTTGTCAGTTGTTTACCTGTCCATGTAGCCTAGCATAGCATAGCCTTGCTTTGCACTCACCTGTGGACTAAGCTAGCTTACTTTTGGGAAAGTGAAAGCTTTGCCGTTGGGTGTTTTACAGCACTGTGTAAAATGGACCATTATGTCGTTAAACTGTTTCTGTGAAGTTGTTTCGAAATGAGCACAGAGATAAAGATGAAGACTTTGCCAAATCCCATTCGAAACGCTGTAATAGCTACCTAATGCTAACGGGATACATCAACAGTGGGTCAGGTGCAATGTGTTTTTATGAGCATAAACTCATGTTATTGATGCATACCAGTGGTGTGCAGATTTTGGGGTCACCAGGTGCTCTCTGAGACCCCTGTTAAGGCCATGGGACTAAGATTCTGGTTCTGAACTGGACAATTGGACAGGTCATACGTGGTTTATAACAGTTTAATACAACTGGAGACCCAACACTGATAAATGGCTTCTTTTGGCCCTGCTTGTCAACTTCTCTGTGTGTCCTGCGTGTAGTGGTACTGTCTTCATTAAAAGTCTGGATGTTGGCACTCATGGTTATTCAGTGCAGGCTGTCCTGGTTCAGTAAGGGTTACATGAGGTAATGAAGCACACAGAGAGTTTACTTGGCCTCAGACTGTAAGATGGGACTCAAACAGAACACACACCCACAGCAGACATGCCAGAAATGAGTGTGGTCCTTTTGACAGAGTAAGGTATTGTTTTTGTGAGTGTAAAGCGTGCTTGAAAGCGTGTCTGTTAAGGCCAGTCTCTGCATTTTGTCTGTTTGTACTGGTAATTTGGCTCCAGGCCTATTTGATGTCTGTGTGTGTGTGTGTGTGTGTGTGTGTGTGTATGTGTTTGCGCACGTTTGTTTGTTTGAAATCTATTCTCACAAAACTCCCTGTCGAAGGAGGAAATAGTCGGGCTGCTGTGAATTCTACCAAAAAACTAAAAAAATCGAAGTGTGCACACAAGTTGGTCCTTCCCCGCCTGTCTTCCTTGTAATATAACAGTGTGGTTCAATGTTCTGCTGTAACTGTGACTCTCTGTTTCAGCTAGAGCTCACATCAGTTTCAATCACCATGGGTTTGCTGTTACAAATGGAAAACTGAGGATCCGTTTTCGAAAATGACATGTGGCTGAAGATGTCTATAGTCTATAGTGCAGATGTTCTGACATTTCACTGATATTAGATGATGGAATCCAGTTGATAAATGATTCAGTAACGCACACACAGTCTGTACGAGATGAAAGGTCTTCATTGAGGTCTTCATCCTGGCTAGAAAATGACAGCTGAGCAAAGATGTCCAGGGTTTATAAAGAGTTTAACTCAGCTGCGTAATACTCTTATTAATGACCATGGCTTACTGGAAAGTACATAGCCGGAATAGCTGCTCTGGGGAGGGACATGTTGGAATCCTACACATTTACCCACAGACAGACAGACGGACGCACACACAGATGTAAATGCAACTGTCCCTTTAAAGATAGATCTATGGTTATTATGTTTAGTCTTCTCAGCAGAGACGGGGCTTGATTAATGGCTGGGGTTAAAGTGTGGGCATGTGTGCGGTTACGGCGTCGGGCAGGGAGACAGAGACACCATTTAGCCCGACACACACTCTGCTGCTTGTTACTGATTATTCCTGATTAGAGGCAACGATAGAGGGAGAAAGACAGGAATAAGGAATGGTTTCATTTGCTGTAACTTAAGCTACAATTGGCTTAGTGTAATTTCCATCCATGCTTTTCTTAGGTACAGATCTAAAGTTTTCTCTCATGTTTAACGTGTTTGTTGTAGGTTGTCCTGCGGCTAAGTATGTCACCGTGCTAGTTAACGTGGTAAATAAGGATCAGATATCAGTTAGTCATGCACTGCTGACAGCAGTCGCCACACACCCTGAGAGCAGGTGAACACACAACCTCGTGAAATAGGCACAAAAAGATCTGTAAAAGACATTGTAGTTTCTCAACATCAGTACACTTATGGGTGGAGCTCATTACCCTCTCCAGAGGGGATGTGTGTGTCCCTTTGTCTGTCTCCACTGAGGGGTGGGTTGTCTCCACCAATTTCCACAAACACAACCTGTTCTATTAACCTGCACCAGCTTGTTTCCACTGTTTATCTCCGGTCTGCCAACCAACTCACCAAGTAGAGGAAACTGCAGCAGCATCAGCGAGCGACTCCCATCCCCAGTCTCCACTAAATCACTTTCCCATTCATTGTCTGCAGGGTTGCATTACACAGACACCACCTTTTAATTAGAGAACCAACACTTAGGGAGTGGACTTGAGCGGGAACGACTCGGGCATGCAAACAGCATCTTAACAAGGCAGCGTCTCTGTTAAGTCTAGATTACTGGCTCATTAAAGCAATTTCTAGTGGCATGTAGGTGGAGTGCAGCGTGTCTAGCTCAGTAAAACAAGTGGCCTGTGTAAGGAGAATAAACAGGGTGTAGTTTCAAACCGTGTTGAAAGCAACTGACTGCGTTTTGGCTACATTGTGTGTCAGGAGTCTCAATGAGAGAAAGTATCGCTTCAATCTGAAAAGTGAAATATATGCACTGACATCATTCAGGGTTGCAGACGATTGTCTTGCTGGCAAGTGCTGACTCACCTGTTCGCCTTTAGTCACGCCGTGAGAAAATTTGGCATAACTAATACAAACACACACACACACGTGCATCAGTATGTATCTTCTTTAAACTTGCAGTTATTTAGTTAATCAGATTAGCCAAAAGCACACACAGTTATTCAGTTGGGTTAAACCTTTGTTCTCCATCTTTGTTTTGTTTAATGTTCACACCTATCTTTGTCTCCTTGTCATTTCAGTCTCTGGAGATGGACTACACAACTCTACACAAGATGAAGAAAATGATCAAATCTATACACACTTCTGGACTCTGTAAGTATCAATGGCTCACATAATATAGTGTCATTCACAAAATAACATTACTAGTTCAGCTCAAGGCTCAATTACGAGCTTTTTCCAGAACTTTCAACTGTTGGCGTTAGCTCAGTTGGCTCAGTAGCCAAGTAGCACTTTGAGGTCTTCTGATCCATGTTGGCTTAAAGTTATGCATGAAAGTTCATTCTTGACCTTGGAAATGGTTCTTTGACAAAACAATTTCAACTGGAGGGCCACGAACTAGCTTTCACAAAGCTTCCATCAGCACACGGACCAGGTGATACAGAAGGAAGCTCCACAAAAACCTTCAGTTTGTCAAACTCCTATTTACCAGGTCAAGAATGAACTTCCATCTTGTAAGTTGTAGTGTGTAAATACATTACTACGATACAATATTTGACGAGTTACAAAATCCATGAAGTTGGATGTCTGTCCCTATAAATGAAGCATGTCGAATCTAGCTTTTAAGTAAAGGTCAGCCATTATTATGGCAGCATGAGCTGTTCGTTGTACAAGACTTGAGAGGACATCATGAAGCTCATGTGGGCCGAGGTGTTTATGAGTGAGGCTCCTTGTTATGGGACCAGAGTGCGTGGAATGTTGGCTGATTGTGTTTATATCCACACAGAGTGTAGGGTTTTGTGGTGTGTGTGCGTCTGTGTTAAAGCAAATGGTACGTCTGTATTCAGCAACAACGTGGTGCTACACAGCGACCCAACAGATGCACCGGGTCACTGAGTGAATGTTTTGTTAGTGTGCGTATGTGTCACTGCAGTACGTCACCATAGCTTGCTGCGGATCTATCGGAAGTGAACATGCACAAGATGTGAGTGTTCACCTCAAAAATGTGCGGGAGAAACAGAGGAGCTGCTCAAGTTGTTTTTCTGAGCTCGCTTACGAATCTGCTTCCCATTTTAGTAATTTTTTTTTCTCGTAAAAATGAGTCAGAGAGCCAGCGGCCCAGAATTAATCAACCGTATATGATCCATTGTAGCTGCAGAGTAGTGTTCCGCAGGTGTTCTCCATACGCATTTACTCCACTTCTTTATTTCTTCCTCGTGTCTAGTAATATGACCATGGCGCCCCCCCCCCCCCCCTTCTGTCATTATGTTGTTGAACCCCTAAATCAGTCCTGATGTTTATCGACCGTCTGACTCACCACGCATACGGACACAGTTGTACGCCCTCTCCTCCCCCACGCTAGTCTGATGGTTCGTTACTCTGTCACACATGCTAAACGCACGCACACACACACACACACACACACATGGTGAGACGTTCTCTTCTTTCGATCTCTATTCCCATAAACCCGCTAAGTACCACTTCTCTGCCAAGATGCTGTGGCCTGCAAGTCTGTGTGTGTTCTGGCAGAGGGGTCAGGGAGTTGAGTTGCTCCGCTGGTATCTTTTCTGAAGGTCGGCTGTAAGATCATCCCCCTCAGCTCCTATGTGACTCAGTGGTGTGTTTGTTTGATAGGTGCATGTATGTTGTTTGTTGTATATTATCTTTTATGCAGCCGTGGAGTCTCAGTTCTTCTGCTTCCCCTTAATTTTGTCTCTTCCATCCTGCAGCGTGTCTGCATACATAATTCACAATTTTTTTTTGTGTCATCCTAAATGTTTCAGTTTTGTTTTAACTAGTTAACACAACGGAGTCAGTCTGTCTCCCAGACATTTGTCTTGAGGTCGAAACTGGAGCAGAAGAGATGACCCTACTAGACTTCCTGCTTATTTCTGCTTTTGTCTGTTTAGTCTGCGTCGGACACTTCTGCAGATGTCTGGGTCATATGTGTCTTTACCACTTCCTTAAATTGTTATCCACAACGATAATTCAATTATTGCATTTTTGCCTTAATGTTGGGGGTTTTCCAAAGTCATCTGATATGATTTCCACAGGGCTTGAATTGCAACTTGTGTTTATTTGATGTCCTCATCTAAGCCTCACTTTAAAATAGCTTTGGGGTAAAACTTAATGTAGTGAAATGTAAACCAATGTGGTGGCAGCTGGAGCCCAGAGTCTTTTCCATCAGCCCCTTTTCCACATAAATTAAACGGACTGAGAGCACTCTAAGGTCAGTGACCTATAAGCCCCAGAGAAGCATGGGTCCCGATATGTTTCCCTGTCTGATGGGTAGAAACCAGTACTAATTTATCCCACATGCTTGTTATAATACTGCAAGTCAATCTGCCTTCTTAAGATTTTCCCGACATGTAACTCAACTCTGAGTCACCTTTAGCTGTCGACGTCTGAGTTACTTTATGTGCTTGTTTTTCAGCCCACGTGGACAACAAGGAGCAGTATGTCGAGGTGCTGGAGAACCTGGGGAATAGCCACCTGACCCAGGACAACAACGAGGTCTCCACAGGGTTCCTCAACCTGGCTGTGTTTACCAGAGAGGTGACAGCCCTCTTCAAAAATCTGGTGAGGAAAGAGGAGATGAGTGTGGAGGAAAAAGGGGAAGGGAAAGGAGAGGCTTCCTCAAATTAGCTTTACTAGAGAGTTCAAACCACACGTCCAAAATCTAGGAGGACTGAGGGAGCAGGGATGGAAATAAAGAAAAGAATGTAGCAGCATGTGAAAGTACCTCAGATCTCTCCTTGTGCGTGCACCCGCAACAGTAAAGAGGTTTTCAACAGCTGCGTGATCGCGCCTCCTTGACTCCAGAAACTGGGGCCGTCCGGAACCCTCCCACTGATAGCTTCTATGGCGATGATAATTCATCCCAGACCTCCACGTGTGTGTCAACACACACCGGCTCACACACACTCCCTCCAATGTGTCAATCAAGGCCTCACAGGGGAGACTGGGTCTTACACACACTGGTTGTGCAAAATCAACCTGAGCTTGTCCCTTAATGACATGCATGTGTGATTGCATGTTTGTCCCGAAGCCTGTCATGATGATTACGTTTTCGGCTTATCGTACAATAAGTTGACACAAACTTGGTCTTTTTTTTTATGTGAAAGACTTATTGTACAATACATGGACATGACCGCGATCCTTTTTACATTTTCTACGAATGGTACTATATATGGATATGACCGCGATCCGTTTGTTTACATAAGAATGTCACCAACATTTTAGCCACATGATGCCAGAATAAACTGCAGGGTTTTCCCTGCCATTATAAGACATTGGGCGTTATTGTTAATCAAGCCTGAGAGTCCATATTCCAAATTCAATGTCTGAATATTTTTAAGAATTTAAAGTTCATTGCTCTTTTACTTGCATATTTACGTATCATTATATCAGTGGCATAAAATGGTCTTAAAGTACCAATAATATCGTTAATCGCAATTATTTTTGAAACAATATGTGATCCAACAAAAGTAGTTATTGTGACAGGCCGACTTGTCCCACTGTTCATGCAGGCATGCTTGGATTTATTTGTGTCATGATGTTGACCTGTATTCACCTGTGTCAGAACTCCGTGTATTATCTATTATTTAGCTCAACTTCTGGATGCCAACCAAAACAATGTTACCAGCCTCCAGGCCTCTGTGTCAATATATGAAGGTCAGCTCTGCAGTGCGGAAGCGGTTGGACATTATTTATGTTAATAGCAGGGTGCAGCTAATCCTCCTGGATACTAACATGGTTAACAGGATACTGCTGGGCTGGAGATGAATGAATGAATGCATGTAGCCGTGCTGCATGCAGTGAAGATGTGATGTATTTCTATGGGGGGGGGGGGGGGGTTTGTGGTAATTATGAATTACTGTAGAGAGCAACCTGTCGGGGTTATGCTGGTTGTTTTGTGACTCATTCTCCCCAGAGCCACTATAGACTCAGGTCAGATCACAAACGGCAATAAATGTCATTGCGTCATGCTCCCACTTGGATCGAAAATCTTAATGATGTAGATTATCGACCAGTGTTTTTTTTTTTTTTCATGAATTACTAGCTCAAAATGACTCACCATGTTTTTGAATTATCCACACTTATTCCCAGAAATGGGGGTCCATAGGGAGATATGAGTGTGTAATACTGTGTGTGTATATGTGTGTTTGCTCATACTGTAAGAGACAAGGGCCTCCTGTAACATGATGTGGAATATTTTAACTTCTTTGCTTATTTGCTTTTTACCTGTTGCAGGTGCAGAACCTCAACAACATCATGGCGTTTCCTTTGGAAAATGTGCTGAAGTCAGAACTCCGGGACAGCCGACTAGTGAGTCTAGATTTTATTACAAATGTATTAAATAGTAATAAACTGCTGGCTAAACTGTTATACGCATACTTGTGTTAGAACAGTGATAGAACACCTGTGTAAACAACACCAAGCAGTCTATTTTCCTTTCACTCAGCTACAGACCAATACTTTAAGCAAATTATATCATTTATCTGTAAAGTGGACATTAGCGGTAGATTCCAGAATTCTGGCAAAATAACCATATCTGGTCTTTAATTGAAATGATATTAAATCAAGTTATTATCAAGCTCTACAGTGAATAAAAGGAACAACTTTCAAGACAGCACCCCTGTTGGTGTTATTGTAATGTGGGGCTTTTCTGCAGCTCAGGAATACAGTCTGCGTTTGTTGATGTTGACTTTACTGTCATCACAATGTAAAATCAGTTTCAGGGTGGATTTCCTCATAAAGCAGGTAATCCTCTCTGTCTCTGCCGTAGACGCAGCTCAGCCTGCTAAGATATTGGGTAAGATGCGGCTGTTTATGCAGATTAATGAGTAAGACTAAGCTACGTTCCGATACTGAACCGATCTGTCTTGCTCAGTATTTGTCCCTTTTTATTTGCCTCGCCGACAGACTAGTGAGTAATAACAAGCTAATGCTTTAGTAAGCTCCTGTCACTGCCCTGTCTTTGAAACAGCTGATTTGACGGCTGAACATTGCTTCACTATAACTGCCAAGGGAGACAAAGTGCTACTGGAATCTTGTTCAGCCAGATAGCAGACTAGTTAGCATAATGTGAGTGATCATGTGTCTGTGCATTACCTGTCTGGCTCTATCCAGATCTACGCAGATAATAACCAGTTCACCTGACTGTATGTGGACTGCTCACCATTTCATCTCAACGCTCTTCTCTTCTCTGCAGGAGCTTAAGAAACACATGGAGAAGAGCTGGAAGGACTACGACATCAAAATGTAATTAACCATACACTTCATTTGTTACCTCGCAGTCATACGGCGACACATTGTGTGATTATAGTCCACTTCTTCATCTTTAAGCCTGATCGCTTCATGAGAGAAAAGGACTTGAAGCCTCAGACAGATGAGGGGAGTCACCTGGCACGTGTTTTACTGGGTCATAGATGATATAACAGCAGAGGTTAATAGGATAATAGTTCATTCCCCAAGGCCTAGCCTTATTTGATCTCATTCTGACGGTAGGCAGGTGGTGTAAAGTGTTTTATGATGTTGTGAGGAGAGTTCCCCTCTCCCTTTTTTCCCTTCATTCAACTTCCTCTACCTTCTGTCTATGAGGAAGTTGAATGATTAAGAGGGAAAAAAACGCTTAAAAAGTTAATCATTACAGTTGATCAGACAGGTAAAAGAATTGTTAGGTACATGGTGCACATCAATAATGCTCTCACCCTCCCCCCTCTTCCTTCCCTCCCCCATCAGAGGGAAGCTAGAGAAGGAGAGGAAGGAGAAGACCAGGCAGCTGGGTCTGATCAAGACGGAGGGATCAGACGGCAGCGAGGACATGGAGAGAGAGAGAAGGACCTTTCAGCTGCAAATGTGTGAGGTGAGGGATTAGTGCCAGTCCAAATACCAGACCCAGAGACCTTTCCCCTACCTGAAGTGATGGTTTAGTTCACATGGGTGGTCTGCTCTGTGGATTCCATATTCCGTCCATGGTCCACTGCATGGCCAGGGTCAATCCGCCTTTTTCTCCGGTAATTCCTATGATGGAAAAAACATGTTTTAGAAAGACGTACGTGAGTTGTTTGCGTCTTGCAGAGTTCCAGTAGAGCGTGGTTATACACATTAGAAAGTGCAGTTCAAAGGCAGATGCTTCATGACACCCACCCTTGTCTAATGCTCTGCCAGTGCTGTTACATACAGTCTCAGCTTAGTGTGTCAGTGCACATGTAGCTGGAAAAAGCCCTGAGAAAAAAAAAGCCTAATCCTGACTGAGACCAGCTGTTGAGACAAAGAGGAGAGGCAGGGAAAATGGAATTTGCACTTGTTAACCGCTCGAACCCTCCGTCTCTCTGTCCGTTTGTCCTCCTCTCTTTCACACTGCAGACATAAAAAACACTCTCAAGCACACACAGACGTACACAAAGTAGAGAAACACTTCACTGAGCCTGTCTCTGCTTCAGCTACAAAAAGACAGATTCAGACTTTGGTTTCATGGAGCAGAGAGTGTAGTCATTCCTTCCACACAGAGGACGTGTGCAGGATGAAAATCATTCAGAATAAAGCCTGCTCTATGTGTCTGTGTAGAAGAAGTGTCCTAGAAAGTAAGGAGCTACATATTAATAAGAACACGCTCAAAACAAGATATTTAAGATGTGTGTCCGGCCAGTTAAATGCTTTTAATTCTTTTACATGTGAAGCTGCAGCAGTAGGAGATGTTCTGTTTGCATTAGCAGTAACTTAATACAGCAGTGCCCGAGAATGTCGCCACAGAGACCCAGTTTGTAATACCGCAAATATATAAATATTGCACTCATCCGTGGTCGATAGGCTCAACCTTCAATGTTTCCGTGGAACCATCTGGCCTTTAAAACGGAGAGCTGCCACTTCTGGATCGTTTATTAAAAGTCTTTTGTTTATGCTTTCAGTATCTTTTGAAGATCCAGGAGCTCAAAGTGCGTCAGGGCCCTGATCTTCTCCAGAGCCTCATCAAATATTTCCAGGCCCAGCTCAGGTCAGTCTCAGCCGGTGTCACCTTTACTATTTTTTTACCTTGTTGCCATTTTGTTCTACATTGTGAAAGTGAAATAAGAACCAGCATATTTTCCTGGCCTAAGAAACACATGGATTTGGTTTCAGTGAGGTTCATTCATTTTTCTTTTACATGCTATTATTACTGTTGTTAACCATTAAGCTATTCTAATCATACCAAGAGTTTTATGTGGGAACAGAGTTGCTTACACAGCTTTGGCATGCAATGTTTTGGTCGGTGTGCACTTGGATGTTTGGACTGAAGTATCATCATGACTCAGCATTTGTTCTTTCTCTGTTCTCAGTTTCTTTCAGGATGGGCTGAAGGCTGCAGAGAATCTCGCTCCCTTTATCGAGAAGCTCGCTGCTTCTGTTCACACGGTAAATACACAGAAGCTGCTGCTGGTCTGTCTGTCTACCTGCATCACACCAACCAGTGTGTCAGTCATCTAGTATTGTTATTATCCAGCTTTGTTATGATGTCAGAATGATATTCATCATGATTAAGAGGTCAAAGGTTAGGGTCTGTGGTTACTGCTGTTGCCCTGACTGTCTAAAACTGATGGTTCACAATTTAAAGAACACAACACGTGAACATACTGTACATATTAATGTTATCATACCCCCGATCCTCCCTCACACTTGTGTTGTTTTCTTCATTTGTCAGCTGTTTCTCAGTCACAGTAGGTACTGCTTCTTAAACACAGTTTAAGAAGCAGTAAAGCTTTCACTGCAAATCACAATGTGTTTTAGTACCTCCTATAGCACTTCTTCTCTGTTACTCTCTCACCACAGCCAAAGCCTCCGTCTCTCCCCCTCCTCCCCCCCAGCTGAACCCACAGGCAGAGACTCTTATTGCAGCCTATTCCAAGAAATGCTTCCCCCAATTTCCAAAAGATGAAACAGAAAGCATCCCTTATTTTCATTCCTTCCCTGATGCGCACCTATTTCTCCAACCACTCCGTCGGGTTTCCAGTCCCTTTTCTGGAGAGAGCCCTGGAAACAGACTAAACTGTGACACTAAGGACGTTGGTGGTTTTTCTGGTTCTGCATAAGCGGAACAGAGACCCGCTCAGGCATGCCAGACCTCAGCATTAAGAAGGAAATTCAGACCCGGATCTATGCTATGGCTCCCTGGAAAAATGCTGAAATATTTCAGTTAAACAGACTTATGTACCATGAAAGACTGGTCAGTCTGCTGCTGCTTTAATACAAAATGCACAACCTCCTAGGACGACGCACCCCAGTACTGAGCTCTGTTCTGCATTATTTGGGCCATTACACAAAGCTCTGATGTCATTCCACACCCAATTCTTGGAACAAATGAAAAAAACAACAACACGGGATATGATAAAACACAAAAACATGTTCTTCCAATTATTTTCTTTATTTTTGCAATTGAATAAACTGACTTTTGTGGTGTGTGTTTTTAGGTGCGCCTGGACCAGGACGAGGAGGTAAAACAACTCACTCAGTTGAGGGATTCTCTCAGATTACTTCTGCAAGTGGAGGGGAAAGAGGTATGCTTTTTATATAATGTCTCTTTGCTATACGCATTATATATAAAGTACCTTACATTTGCAGATTCAATATCTTCAGTTGTACTGTTTCAACATAGAAACAAGATGTGGGCTCTTAAATGTCCAGCGGCAGACGGCTTTAATTGCGAGTTGATGCTATCGGATTACTCTGTATTGCCACACTTGTTTTAGATTTTCAGAGCTGGCCTCATGCTTTTGAAGTAAAGTCCTAAATCTCTGTTTGTATCCTAGGAGTATCTGAACAGGAAGAACTCTGGCAATGGCTACAGCATCCACCAACCACAGGGCAACAAGAAGTATGGGACAGAGAAATCTGGCTTCCTGCTCAAGAAGAGTGATGGGTGAGTAAAAGCATTGGTTACAGCGTCCCAATGTCACGGCACAGCCAGTTATAATACAAGTATTGTATTAGAATTCAAAACACATGGAACACAAGATGTGAACAAGATCAAAAGGTAAAACCTATAAACGATCATGTAATTTAAGTAATTTAATGTATTGTAGACTCCCAGGTTTACTTTCATGTTAATATTCCAACTAATAATTTTTCAAAGTGATAAACTTTGCTGTTTGAGGGCAGTCGTGAACAGAAAGCAAGTAAGGCATGGAGAGAGAGAGAGAAGGGGGGTTTTCAGACTTTGTCTACCCCACCTGGTCCTCATTATTGTGAGATGAAGATCCGTGCAGGGGCCCCTCCTGTGAAACTTATTGGCAGACTCGCCAACTGAACGGATCCAGCTTTTGCATCATGCACACACACACACACACACACGCACACACACACAGAGCTCGATTACAGTAAGATAAGGAGAGGGGATGTGGTTCAGAAGGGTGAATGGGAGACGAGGGAGAGCAATCCTTCCTCAGGCCACTGACAAAACAGAACGCGTTCTCAGCAAGATAATGAAAACAACAGTGAAGTGCTGTAAACAGGAGTTAGCTTGGCCAGCACAGTGTGTAGATCACCAGTATGCAAGTGTTAAGTTAACACTTTTATCTCTTAATGTGCTGCACAGAAATCCTTCAGGTTGATGATGTTACTTCAGTAGTTTGTGTTTAAAATCAGTACATTCTTTTTCTCAGATTTGTTTTTTCTCTCCCTTTGGCGTGTCATCCAGCAGGATCAGGAAGGTTTGGCAGAAGAGGAAGTGTGGAGTGAAATTTGGCTGCCTGACAATTTCTCACAGTACGGTGAGGATGACTGGGCTGAACTGCCACCAAGCATTCCGCTTCAGATCAAAGTGTAATCTGAAATCTGTCCAATTCTCCACTTCGCGCTCACATTATCGCCTGTGTCTATCTTCAGATCAATCGACCGCCAGCCAAGCTGAACCTACTGACCTGTCAGGTGCGCCCGAACCCAGAGGACAGGAGGACCTTTGACCTGGTCACTCGTAGGTTCATTCCTAACTTTGGACCCGGAAGACTTTACCCTCCACATATCATCATGAAAGACTCTTTAAGAGTCACGTGCAGTGCAGCTGTGTGGACGCTTGCCTATCTGGTCCCCACATTGATAGAAACTGGGACCAGACACATTTTATATGGGATGGATGCCAGAGATGATTTATGATTAATGTACTGTTGTGACGTGACAAAGGGGTGATTGTGTGCTTGTTTTATGCCATTTCTATTTCTAACTCTTCTGTTGATTCTTTTTTTTTTTTCTTCTAAAGATCCACTGATAACATCTAACCACTGATTCTCTTCCTCCCTAGATAATAGGACGTACCGTTTCCAGGCAGAAGACGAGCAGGAATGTACGATGTAAGTGTTGAAACTACTGTAACCTGCTGATGTTATTCACTTTCTTACCTCTTGTGTTTTGTCTTTGTCTAAACAAGTTGTTACACGTCATGCACCTTTTTTTATTTGAGCTCATGTCTTTGTAGGAAAGACGCACTTGAAGAGAAGGCCGAGAAGTGTACTAAATATCATAATACAGAAAGATAAAGATTGTATTTATTCTGATGATGTATGCAGGGCTGACAATACCCCAAAAAGGGAGAGAAACTAAATGAAGCAGAAAGAAAGCGCTGTCCTCTAGGAGCCCACTGGCCCAGCTGGTTTTGGGTGGGACTTCTCTTTGCAGCCACAGACAGCGAGCAAGGGGACTTTGTTGTTTTGTGATGTGGGGATTGAGGGGAGTGCATGGGGGGGGGGCGGTTCTGTCCCTTACCCTTCCCTTGTGTGTGGGCCTCCGGGCAGATTCTTTGATGTGATGTGTGAGTTGAGGGAGATGGAAATGGTTTGAAGGGAATTGAAGAACCTTCATAAAGAACGTGTGATTCAGTTTGAGTCCGGGTGGTAGAGAACTCATGAAAGTGAGAGTGATGATGACTAATCACTAGAGTGCAAAAGCAAAAACACATGGTGGACTACTTTTGATCTTCTAGGGGAAAAGACTGAAATGATCAATGCTTTGGTTTTCCCTCCAAGTGAGCAGTTACAAAATGTGGAATTTGGGGGAAAAACAACATTTTGCATCTTTTATTAACTTCTTGTTTTCTGTATGTCTGTGCCCCTGTACTTAAGTTGGGTGTCAGTGCTACAGAACAGTAAGGAGGAGGCCCTTAACACAGCGTTGGTAGGCGACCAGCTCCACCTCCAGGACAGCGGGCTCCAGGAACTCTCCCGAAGCATCATCGGCGAGCTCCGACACATGCCTGGCAACGAGGCCTGCACCGACTGTGGAGCGCCAGGTCAGCCGGTCTATGTTGTTGAAGATCATTGTAGAAGCAAATCACTCACCAGTTTAATGCAATATTCATAAACAACATTTATCAATTCAAGCTGTGTTAATGGGTTTCACAGTCTCTTGACTTCTTTGTGTCTGTGTATCTCAGATCCAACATGGCTGTCGACCAATTTGGGCATCCTGACCTGTATAGAGTGCTCTGGCATCCACAGAGAGCTGGGTGTCCACTACTCCAGGATCCAGTCACTCACCCTGGACCTCCTGAGCACCTCTGAGCTTCTGGTACTAAATACAGCCACGGAAACAAACTTTTCACACAAAAACAGACACAATCCATTTTTGTATTGTCAGGATTTACTAATTAGACTTTATGTTAACGTCTGCTTTTCATTGAAATGCTTTAATATCACATCTTTGTGGCTGCATTGTGTGTCCCTTCAGTTGGCTGTCAGTATTGGCAACACCAGATTCAATGACATCATGGAGGCGGGCCTTCCAGATGACTCTGTCAAACCATTGCCACAAAGTGACATGTGAGTCCCCGATTTCTGTTGAACTAACAATCTGATTGTTCAAAAGGAATAAAAGACAATTCAGTGATCTATATCTTTTGTATTTTTTCATTAAAACGTGTTAATTTAACAACTAGGAACGCCAGAAAGGAGTACATTGTGGCGAAGTACGCCGAGCGTCGGTACGTCCTGCGCAGAGAAGAAACAGACCCCGGCCGGCTGTACGATGCTGTGAGGAGTCACAACCTCACTTCTCTTCTACAGCTCTACGCTGAGGGCGCGGACATTTCCAAACCGCTCACACTGAGCGATGGACAGGTGAGGATAATTTACAGCCACCAGTGGATTTCAAACTCCAGCTTTTCTCCCCGACATGGGTCCCGTTAGTGTGGGAATGTGTGTAGTAAATCCTTACAATCTCTTGACACATTTAAACTCCCACAGATGTCATGCATGTGTGATGAATGGCCGCTGCATCCTGACCAGGCCGCCCACCGGGCTTGTTTACAGCTCCACATACATTGGTGCAATGTTTCTAACATGTTCATGTCACTTTAGGACTTTGAAGGAAATGGCTTAAAATAGAATCAAGTGTTACAAAAGGCCACAACATTCAGACTGTAGGAGGTGTGTGGATATTTACAGTATGTGAAATATGTGTTAATTGTCCTCTTGTGTGGGTGGGTAAATCACAGGCCCTCCCATCTCTTCTGGCCTCTAATTCAATCTTCCCCTTTTTTTCTCTCTCTTCATCCACTTGTCTCGTTTTCCCCCGCCGCTGCTCGTCTTCTTGTCTTTAATCACATTCCACCCTGCCTGTCATACACTTCCTGCTCCGCATAAGCAGTATGTAACACTGCTGACTCCACCGTGTGCGTATAAGTGTGTTTGTTTATTTTGGTTGGCCCTCGTTTATTATTTCAGCTTTAAGGTCAGAGCTCACGTCTCTTGAGGAAAAAGTGAGACGAGCTCATTGAATTTACGCAGGCACTTCTCTTCCTCTCCTGCCCCTCCTTTTGCACTTCACATAAACAGATAACACTTAAAGCTCTCGGCATGGTGTCACTTTTTAACACGCAAACACAAATGAGTTCTTTGTGTCAGGGTCAGGCATTGGCTCCTCTGGTAATCTAGTTGCATATCTTTAGACTCGATTATCAGAAACAAAATGCAGCCACTTGGTGTACTGACTTAGGAACCTTTTCTGAGGGTCAACAGTTTGGCCTCATTGGTGCTTTCTTCTTCCTGTTTAAGGGGATCAAAGAGACTGCTCTTCATCTCGCGGTGCGTCTGGAGGAAAGAAGCTCTCTGGCACTTGTGGATTTCCTCTGCCAGAATAGGTCAGACACTGACAAGTAGTCATGAATGATTTGCATCTCCTTTGCATGAAGAGGATTACGCGCTTTAATCAGTAGTGTACATTAGTGACATCTAACACCATCTGCCTGTACTGTCTGTTCCCTCTACAGCAACTGTCTGGAGAAGAGAACAGCAGAAGGAAACACAGCTCTTCACTACAGCGTCCTGCATCACAAGCCCGAGTCTCTCAAGTTACTGCTCAAAGCAAAGGCAGCCCTACAAACGGGTAACTCTTTTTTTGACTCTATTTTTCTTTCACCTAGTGTAATCAATAAATACTGAAACCATTTTCTTCATTCAAATGTCCTATAGTGAACTCTGCAGGAGAAACAGCCCTTGATATTGCACGGAAGCTGCAGCATGCACAGTGTGTCGAGCTGGTGAGACCCCCCTCTCTCTTTTTTTTTTTTTTTTTTTGTATTTTTATTGTAAGACACACACACACACAGTAAGGAGGTAAATTCAACTGAGGAATCAAGTTGCAACATTGAGATTTCTACCCGAAACCCAACACCAGAAACAAAACAAGACAACTTCCACAGCTGGAAATACTACCTTGAAATAACTCCCCGTGCAGCAGAGCTATGCTCAGGACTCACTCCCAGGACACGCAATCTTATCCTCATCAGGTCCCAGTGTGTATCACTTATAAACAATTTTCTATTTTCTTACCGGAATTCTGCCCCTCTGAATCAGACCTGCATTGTGTAATATCCTGTTTGATTACGCACAACCTTCTTTTACGAGCTTGTTGTGTTGAGATTATAAAAGGTTACACAAATTCAACCTGTTGGCTGAATTTATTACATTTTTCATGAAGATGGTCTGTTTTTAATATGAAAGCTGCAATGAGGTGTGGGCTGTCTCTGGCCTCAGGACTTTTATTTAATTTAACCGGCTTTGCTCATTCCTAATTGTTTTAATTGTTGTTGAAACATCTGCTGAACCCAATGTCACACTGACATGACTGATCATTGCCAGTCAGGAGGTAGTTAATAGGTCCTCCCAAATTGCAGAAGGATGTGTGATGTATTGTGTTGACATAGATTCACGCCCTGTTCGTCTTTGCCCATTTTCTCTTTTTTCATAATTAGTTTGAAGGTTTGTGCTTCTGTGTGTGTTTTAGTTGGAGCTGGCCCAGAGTGGGAAGTTTAACTCTCAGATCCATGTGGAGTTCATGTGGGAGACACAGTCTCAGGAGTTTTATGACAGCGAGGATGAGCTGGATGAGAGGGTAAGCAACACACACACGCACACGCACACACACACACACACACACTCTCATTACTGGCTTTGACTCTGCCAAAAAAGCATTTTACAGCCTTTTTTTCCGTCTGCAATCTACTCTACTTACGAGAAAAAGGCAATTAAAAGAAATTAAACAAAGAAAGTTCAGGAGAAACTAGAAATGACCTTGTGCTCCTTTCCACTTTCTTCCAGGTGAGCCCGTTACCCAAAAATGGAGGCGGTGGTACTTCCTTTTCCCGCTGGAGTATGGGTAATGGTGCCAGTGGTAATACTGGAAGCAGGCCTTGTCAGACATATGAGAACCTAGAGTTTCTATATGGTAATCCTCCAGCCAACAGCGCCCCCTCGGGAACATCAATGCCTCCACCACTGCCAGCTAAATCCATCCAGAGAGGTGAGCTACTGCAGCGTACAGTCTTCGGCTTATTTGCATTATAAAAATGCCCCAATTTCATTTTTTGCCAGTTCAACACATTAAGTTTTAGGTAATTTGTTTTTGAGCGAATGAACAACTTAATTAAATGGATGTTTTTATAAACGCGTACGATCTACGCTGTTGCGCTTGTTTTAAATTCTTTACATCGCTTTCCCCCTCCACAGGTTGCTCGGACCCCCAGATATCAGTTACAACAAAGGAAGCCCTACCACGACGTTGCTCTAACCCAGCCTCCCACTCCTCCAGTCCCCAGACACAGGCGAGACATCAGACCCCTTCATCCAACACAGAAGGCCAAGGGGCGAGACCACCTAGGTCTCCCAAAGGACCGGGAGCTCTGCTCAAGGCACAGAGGCTGACTTGGGATGGCCAGCCTGGTGCTCAAGGCAGTGTCACGCCAACATCCTCTCAGAGTCACATAGGGCCCGTCAGGTGAGACAGCGCTGCTAGGATGTGATAACACGTTTCTGTCCACACAATAGTATCCGGTGTAAAGAAGGCCATGATGCCATGTCTAATGACAAAAACTGAAATATCACTATTTACTGTCCTTATCTTTACTACTACACAGCCTTATACAAGTTTCTAGCTGTCCTCTGTTTTGTCATGTTAAAAAGCAACTCTATATGATAAAGGCCTCGTTCGATCACAGATATTTCATGACTTCTCCACCCTTCCAGTTCAGAGAAGACCACTTCATATCGTCGGGCCAGCAGTGGAGCAGGCAGCCAAGGGAAATGTGGCGCGTTGTCTCCAAGTTGTGTGGGCAGCCAGGAGGAGCTGTACTGCAGCTTAGTGGGGAACAGTCCCGGCCTCGCCCCAGCTCCTGCTCCTGCTCCTGCTCCTGCTCCAGCTCCAGCTCCAGCTCCAGCTCCAGCACCACCACCCTCACCTGTAGTGTCTTGTGTCCCACGGCCCCGCAAGAACGCTATGGTAAACATCACATAGAAGCCTCTTTCTGTTGCATTCAGCCTGTAGATCAAGTCCTTCACGTCACAATCTTCAATTTCACCGAACTTTTCTTTTTCCCCCTGGGGAGTATCAGGAAACAGTCTGTGAGATTTCACAGTCGACATAAATCACTGGTAAATATATGACATGTCTCCTTCAGGTTTCTGGCAGCAGGCCACATCAGAAGCGTGTCAGGGCTTTAGTGGACTGCAGAGCAGTCAGTAAAGAGCAGCTGGCCTTTTTCAAAGATGAGGTCATTGTGGTCACGGCCACTAATGACCCCCACTGGTGGGTAAGTGCAACTACAACTTCTTCTACGGTGCCTTGTAGATTTAACAGGAAGGGAAATATATTTCTTAGACTATTCCGAGAATATTACGTCCAAAACTGCACTACAACTATAGGATACTGATCAGTAAGTGGGAGCTTCAATGTACATGTTTACATGTGTGAGTAGTTCAATATTGATAAGTATTGTGTAGCTTTGTATAGTTTGCTTTGCTCATTGTCTTTGTCTTTTCAGCTCTCAGCTTTTTTTTAAAGTGCTCTGTTTATCTCTATCCTAACAGGCTGGTCACATAGAGGGGGACCCATCCAGGAGTGGGACATTTCCTGTCAACTATGTACACAAACTAACAGACTGAAGGGACAGGAAATATGAAATCTACCGTATGGCAACATAACAGAGAAACCGAACCAGCACAGGATGCTTCCTACTGGAAACGTATCGTCATCACACAGAGGACTCATCTATCGGAGAGAGGACAGTGGTTTCTCCTGGATCCATCTCAAACTAGAGGGTTTGAGCATCCTGAGAACATTTCCACATGAGGATATACTAGCCACAAGATACCTCAGGGTGAATGACACTGCCTTAGGAATTTATAACTTTTTTTAACATATACTCATTCTGGAAACCAGCAAGGGAACTGAAGGCTTTCAGAGCCCCATATAAACTCTCATTCCAAGGACAATTCCCCCCCCCCCCCTTCTTGGTTTTTAACTGCAGTTGTCTAAAATCATGAATCACTATTAATAGGTGAGAAGGCATTTGTGGTTGGTGTAGAAACTGCTCTATTATGTCCATTTTAACTATTAACCATCTGCAAAATAATGTAGAATTAAGTTGTCGATACTGATCCAGGATTTGTAACTTGGGTCAAAACTTACCTGCCGGGCAAAACCCCTTTTAAGGCACTTTAAACTCATTGAGAAGAAATCTTCTGAAGAGTTGGCAGGGTGGGTAATGTAAATAGTTTGAGAGCTGCCTGTTAAATCATAGTATAGTGAGACTTTGAGTTGAGGTTTGAACCTGCTCAGGGTCTGTTGCAGCCTGCCTTGGGACTCTTGGGACTCTAAATGAGGCTTTGTGTCTGCCAGTCTGTCTCCAACCTAACGGCAGGCGCCTGGGCAGAGATCTGAAACTTTAGCTCAGCCATCTTGCCTCTGGGCACAGCTCACTGCCTGCGGGGGGGATCCAGTTTCTCCTGACTCCAGGCATCTAGTCTCAGGAGAACCTGGAATAACGACGGTGTGTTTCAGAAAACAAAACAAAAGACTCTGCAGAAATGGCACTTAAAAGAGAGCTTGTTAGCAACAGCACCCCACTGCAGTAATTTGTTCACACACACACTGTGGACACATGTGCGTCACATAAGGTATACATGACACAAGCACACTTGCACTTACATTACACACAGAGCAGCTTCCACGATTTAGGAACCTTTTAAGGAAGAATGGAGAGCTGGGGTAGAGGTTAAACTGCTCCACTTTTTTACATTAGTGACAAATGTAACGCATTTCACAGCTATTACACATGATTTGTTGTACAAACTTGTATATAAATGTCCACTGATGTACAGTATATATCACCTGTTTTCTCAGCTGTTATGCATTATAAAGGATTTTATTATTAGTGTTTTTTATTACAGTCTTAATCCATGTTGGTAATTTGATGTCCTCTGATCTAATGTCTTGTGTCTTCTGTTCTGTTTCATTAGTTGTCTAAATGGCTCTGAGAAAAAAGAAGGGAATAGACACCTCCTCAGTATTCATAGAGGATTCTGTTCAAACACTGACGGTGATCAGTAGAAGCAGACAGGAAGCAGGTGTTCACTTCCTTTGAATCATTTGAGTGTGAAGGTACAGTGCGTAGCATTTTAAGCGATCTATTGGCAGAAATGGTTTTCTTTAGTTTACCACCTGAAAATTAAATTGTGTTTTTGTTACCTTAGAATGAGCCCAGCCATTAATATCTATATCTACATACGGAGCAAGTTCTCTTTACGGACCCAGATAGCATGTTTCTACAGTAGCCCAGAATGGACAAACCAAACACTGGCTCTAGAACGGGCCGTTTGCGTGCTCGGCACACTGGAGAAATTGCAGCTGGTTGCGATCTCCAACCTCAGCGCTAGATGCCACCAGATGCTACACACTAGACCTTCAAACAAACAAGTGTGTTTCCCTGTCACTCTTTCTGCCTCCATTACCTTGTTATAGTGTTGATGTATTAAGCAAACAAATCAGGAGACGGGCATGTTTTCAGATAAATGCAAAGCAGTGAAACTCAGTAGGAACTCTTGTCAATTGTAAACAATAGTGAATTCATTCATATTAGGCAGTCTATTTGTAAATACAAATAACACATGTTTAATAAAGTGCCATACAGTCTTATTGTGTGGTGTTTTTCTGTATCTGTTATGAGTCAAATGGACTAATGTATTGTATCTGTCTTAAAGCCAGAGCACAACTACAGACAAAAGGTACTAAGTCTTTAATCCTCAGCACAAGGACGCATCGCTTAAATTAATAGTGAGTGAGAGCACGTGTAAAACCTACTTCCTAGTAAAAGCTTATAAATGTGCATAATCATTGTGACGGGTCTTTAGTGGCCGTGATAATGTTATGCACACTTAGCTGGATTGTGCAATATGTTATGGTGAATGTTATTCCACATATACTAGTCTTTGATACTCAAAGTTCAATAATTCAAAATCCATAGACTCAAACTCATTTATGAACATTTGGTTACAAATGGACTTGCATTTATAAAGCACCTTTCTAGTCCTCTGACAATTCAAAACACCACATGTCAACATTTACCCCATATACACATTCACATTCATACTCTAGCAGTGTGGTACCTTGTACCTCTTCCATCAATCAGGATCTAATCTTCATATGCTCATTCACATACTCGTACACCAATGGTGCCATAAGACGACTTAAAAACTATTTGATTTTGAAACAAAACGTCATTCTTATTTTGATGCTATTGTCCATTGATATTCTCTCCCAAAAAACTATTACATCCAAGTTCTGGCCTATGGTAAAATAGTATAGTCATCGTACCTTTGTGTAATTCAACTACTCACTTGTGTGAGCAAGGCCTGTCCAAAAAAAAAAGATGGCATTACTCTCAGTGAAACAAGCCTGGACCCTTTGTAAATACATTTTCTCTTCTTGCTACCATTGCTGGCCTCCTCGCAGCTGATTTCCTCCCCTTCTACCCTTTATGCCTTCCTAAATCTAAATCTCTCCCTCTACATCTTTCTTGGCAGTCTTCTCTCGAGTTGTCTGTCCTTCCGGCCTCATTTGTTCTCCATCCGGATGTTGCTTCTGTTCTGATCCTCTGAACCAGAGCCAGGATGATGAAATTCCAACCTGTCACTTACATAACCGGTCACTTCACTAACAGCCAGGATAATAATGCCACGGCTTATTCTGCTCTGCCAGCCGAGTAGCCCATATACACACACACACACACACTCAATTCTCCATTAGGCCTGCCTGTGTGCACTAATGCATACGAGGACTAAAATGTTACTTCTAAAACATACTGTAGTATAAATGCATTCATTCACTAATGCCCTCATCCATTTAATGTATATTCATGCACACATACACTACACAAATATAATTTAACGTAATGTATACATGCTGTGGAATAATCATAATTTTGCCATTTATTTTCTACAAGCAGGTTATATTTAGGACCTCATTGCCACTATATGGTATTATTTATTTGGCATTCTTTGACATTTTATGGCATATTGTACTATGACTTTAGTTTAATTTTTACAACATACTTTTTTATGACTGACTTTTTTTTACATACTATACTGTGACTTTTTATGACTTTTTTTATGAATAATTGTTCATAAAAAGTATTACAAAGTCATGGTATATTGTACCATAAAAAATGTTTGTAATGCAACGACTGTTGCTATGTTGATGTAAGGTGATGCTTTGATTGTATCTGGTGAGACCAAAGGTTATTTTCTGGTCTCAGCTTTATAATGCAGTTCTCTTTTATTCTATTCTGGAATATCATCGTCATCATCATCATATCAGACCATCATAAAAATCATAGAAAAATTCATGCATAGTATGTCCTAAAAGAGAACAGCATATAACACTATGATGACACTTTGACATTTTTTAGCATACTATTCCATGCCTTGTTTATGACTTCTTATGGCAAACTGAACTTTGACTTTTTTATGCATCAGGGTCTGTAATCTCTTTAAATAGAATATCATATAATAGAGGATGATCTAACTTTCTAATACCCTAGATATTCAGATCTGCCTATCTAAAACCCATCTACATCTGTAATGCCTTTCATTGAGTGAGCAAAAACATCAGCTTAATATATCTTCACAAATCCTGGCTCTTGCATTAATGGGTACTTGGAAGTGGGATATATTTCCAGTAATTCTGCCCTTTTTCCGTCTGAACACAGGCTTACCCAACCTCCACTTAACCAAACAATCAGCTGAGAAGAGGCTCTGATGGACAAGCAAATTACTTTAATGTGTGTGACTCTCTTTTTTCCCAGTTTTGCTATTTCCACAGCTTGTGTATGAGTAGTTTACTGCTGATCAGGCACTACACGGCTGTGGGCTGAGGCAAGGTGACCCTAATAATTCCTAGACCTTTCATGCAGCAAAGGATGGAATACTATTTTTAATATCCGACCTGAAACACTTTGTTAGCAGTTTCCAGAAGAATCCCCAAAAGAGAACGTAGCCTATTTAGGATTCTCTCTCCAGTCTGAGGCACGAAAAAACAACAACATTTCATTTGTTTTCTCCATTTATTCTTATGATTCAGCCTATATCTTACAAAACCTGATAATCAAAATGAAATATATCATTTCATATTTACTAGTCTTGTACATTGTAGCTCTGTGGTCAAGTAAATTATAGTGTCAAGAAATTTAATTGTCAGCAAATTTAAGCATTAAACATAGAAGAACATTCATTCTTTTACGGTGCAGCAGAAAGCAAAAGCCTTTTAAGAACCAGTGCGAGTACATCAGGGTTTGGAGACAACTAACTTCCAATACAGCTGATTTTCAATTCAATTTGGAAAGTGTGTTTTCTTTCCTGTGAGTCTCATAACCACAAACCCCTCACAAACATTTAAAATTAAGGCTTTGTAGTTTTGCAGATAGCTGTTGCAAACCAAATTGACTCCAAACCTGCTGCAACTGTTATGCATATAACAGTTGCACACAAGTAAAATTTGACCTTACATTCATAAAATAGAATATACAGCTCTCAATCAACGACAAAAATATCGCCCGAGTGTGAATAAAGATACGAAACACCTAATTTAAGGAAAATGTTCTGTGCTTATTCCACCACAACATGAATACATAATATATCCTACATTTAATAAACAAACACAAAATATTAAAAGAGTCAAAAAGATTAATACAACTGTTATTGGAACTGTGCTTGGCCAGCATTTGTGTCAGTAAAGGGCTGTGGGCACTGTGTTTGTAGTTGGTCGTAGCTTCTAGTTCTTCAAACAGTTATTTGTTTGGGCTTCATGGTTAAAAACCCTCGTATCAAAAGTCATAAATGTAACTTTAAATGTAAGTACAAGGCCCCTGAAATGAATACAAGAGGATGCATTGCCAACCACAGGTTCAAACAAGATAGATGTGATTACACTGTATATTCTGTGTTATGGGAAAGAAAAATACTACAGTTACATTCATTCTGCAGGTGGGCCGAGAGATCTTTGGGAAACGTGGTCTTTTTCAACCATAGAAAAACACAAAAGGTGCAGCCGCACAACAGTGCACAAGTTGTTGTTTTTTCCTCCGCCCAGATGATGTTTAGGTCTGTTATGGTCATGAGTTCAGCTGTTTACCATTGCCTTCATAATCAGTACGATCACCAAAGTATCACTGCCACGCACCAACATTGAATAAGGCATATGAAAAGAAATATATAGGCCAGCTGTATATTCAGTTATAACTCTAGCTATATACATAGGACCATCAATACATGTTTGAGGCCTACTAGACCCGTTTGTTCTGTACAAGCGTTCTGCCAGCAACCGGCTTGGCTGAATATTGTTTGGTATATGGATGTGCACAAAGACGGCAAAAAGTACTTCCCATGGCCATGTGGAATAAAGTTAGTCAATATTCAACGATAAGGTCATCACGGCTATCAGAAATCTGAAAGCTGAAAACGTCAACAGTGACACATAATGAATCTGTAACATTTTCTTTGCTCAAAGGAGTAGCCTACTCCGACAATTTACAACTGCACTTCTTGACAGATGGACGTTTATAGGATCCAGAAAAGATGGACACATTTACCGTTACACTACTGGATACCATCTTTCAACAAACCTCAGTGCATTCTAAATGATCCACTTATTTCAAACTCCTCATGCTTAGTTTGTAATGTAGGTTTTCCTGTTAAAAATCAAGCCTCAAACCCAAGCTGATAACATCTCTATGACAGTAGGGTATTTTTTGTCCCCTCCTGAGGACTCGTCAGAGGACATTTTACAGCAGGTCAGGTAGTACTCGGTAGAAATCAGTAGAGTGCCCCTTTGTGCTCCCAATTAACTTAGACAAACTAATCATTGAAGCCCTTATAGTCCAATTCAAAAATAGCCAAAAGCTATTCATTCCGTTTTATTTGCATCAACCTACATTTTTAAACGTGTGCAACTCGTCTTCACGTCCAATTTCATGCATCATGTTTTTATTCTCCCTTTGCTTGCAAGGTCCCTGATACAGGCAGCCTTGGCTCTGAGCAGTATATCAGTGCCCATTTTCTAATGCATCTCAAATGATGCAGTGACATGTCACAATCATGTGAATCTTTGCAACTAAGATGCAATTACAATTTATACTACCCTAAGCTATTATGCAGTCAAACTACGCGCCTCTCTTCTTCGGTGAGATCATTCATGATAGGAGCGCAAACAAAGCACCATCAACGTAGCACACATAGATGGATACTAACATGCACTTACATCGCTATATGTGCTTTGTTCCCCAACGAATGCTGCATCCAGATTGAATACCTGCCTCTCTGCCATAACCTTTGAATGCCAAAAATGGATATCCCTGGTGTATTGGCAGTGCTTTCTACACACACATGTGCAGCTGAAGCAAGGGATTGGTGGAGTATAGCGGAATACAAAAGATAGTCATCATTGCTAATCCAAAGAGAAGAGAAATGGGAGGGAGGAGAGGAATTAGGCCGAAAAAATGAATGTGATCTATAAGTAGAAATCAGGTCACTCGCTGCATATGGGACAATGACACTGCTGTACATGTGAAGACAACATAACAGATTGAGCTCCCAAATGAACCAAACAATACGTTTGGCTTTGACATTCAAACCCTGAATTAACACATTTCGTTCACAAACTGATTACGATACCAGTGAAGATGTTATTGTGCACACGAGACACGAGTGTCATTCTATTGGGCAAAACTGCCATTCTAAATATCTTGCGATTATAACACAATCAGCCAAAAGGTGATGGCCCATCACAGCTTGCCTTGCTAATGCATGCATGGCTTAACTTTAAGTTCCCCCTCGTCGTCAATAAATCAACAGGTTTAACAGCTTTTATCAATAATATTGTTCACTATAAAGACAGTTCATTTATATTTAAATAATTGCAGCAGAAATATTGGCTCCTAAATCCCCGATAGGACCTCTACAGCTGTCTAGTGTTGTTGTAGTTACAGTGCTGTGCTGGATACATTCTGTAGGTTTGTGAAATCAGAATTAGGATAAAGAGATGAGTGGTTGCTAGGTGACTGGATAAAAAGAGGCCACAGGTGGAATCGTCCCAGCTTGAACTCGTCTCCTGCTCCCTCGCTTTTCCTCCAGTATGCTGCCAAAAACAAGGGTTTGTGGTAGTGGTCACAGAGAAGCCAAGGCACGTTTCCTGTGCAAGTCTCAGCCATTTGAGATCCACACTTTGTGCGTTTTCTCTTTTCCAGACTCTTGTCCATTTCCCACCTATTTACTGCATGCTTGGGTTTTATGTAACAGTGCAGCAATCCCATCATAGCTTCACCTCCGATTCTCTTTCACTGCCCTTCACTTCTCATGTTGGGGAGACAGATTGGTCAGTGTTTTCTTCCATCTCGTCATCTCTTTTCCTTTCCTCTCTTACCCCCTCTTCCTCCTCTAACATTATATAAGAATAATAATAATAGTAATGCAATCCTTATTGGCATTTCGTTCATTGCTGCATAAGTTAATAGACATACGACAAAGCTCTTTTTACCTCACGGGCCAGTTTGAACCTCTCCTCCCACATCCCCTGAATAAAGACTTATCTGATTCAATATATTTAGACAATCTCTCCTATGAAAGTCTAACACCACACCAAACTGCAAGCAGCAAAGTATCTGTGAAAGCAAAGAAGTAATAATGATATCCTGGTCAACATCGCACCGGTACTGGCTTGATTGGTTCGCTAGCCAGAGAATTTCCTCAGAAGTACACTGAACAAAAAGCTCCTTACTAGCATTTGTGATTATTGTAGGCACTCTAAGACCTGGAGGACCAGCCTCAGGATACAAGAGCAGAGCAGTGGAAACCAGAGAGCAACCACGTCAATGAGCGATAGCTGAAGTTTGGAGGTCTATCCTCCTGTTTATGTAAAGCACAATTCTAAAGCAATGGTGGAAAAGCTGTCTCAATGTCCTATTTGAGCTTCACAGGCCAGGGGAGGCACGTGC